CAAGGAAAGGAATGAACAGACAAGAAGAAGTAAAATTGTCCCTACTTATAGATATTTGTACCTATAGAATCTCAAGAAATCTACAATAAACAGAAAGGGAAGACCTTTAAGTATTTAAGTTTAGTAAGGTCACTGGATACAAGATCAAAATAAAAGCTTCTGTATACTAGCAAAGAGTACATGGAAATCAAAATGGAAAGCAGTGTCATTTATAGTAGCTCACAAATAAAAATACGTTAGGTATAAATCTAGCAAAACATGGGTTTTATGCTTCAAACTTTACTATAAAATATGGATGAAAGAAACATGGATGAAAGAAAATTTCAGTAAATGGAGCAATACATTGTGTTCATGGATTCAAACACAACATACTGAAGGCATCCATTCACCACGAATTTATCTGTAGCTTTATTGCCATTCCTATCAAATTCCCATGTCTTGTAAATATTCGAGCTCATTCTGACATTTATTTAAGACAAATGAGAATAGCTAAAAGTTCTGAAATAGAAAATATGTGGAAAAATTTTATGAAGTCTTACTGTTTAGTGACAGTAATTAAGACCTGTGATACTGACAGAGGGACCGACTGATAGCCTAGTAGAATGGATAGAGATTCTACATACAGAGCCACATAAACATGCTAAATTTATTTTCTTTCAGTTTATTTCAACAAAGGTACACTTAGTTTAGAAAAGATAGTGTTTATCAAATGTTGCTAGAGCATTTGGATATTAATAAACATAAACAGAGAAATTTCACCCTAACCTGTCATAAAAAGTAATCCAAACTAACTCCTGGGTTTAAACATAAAAATATAAAACACAAAAGAATATCGTCAAGATCTTGGCCTAGATGAAGAGTTCTTAGACACCAAAAACACAGTCTATAAAAGAAAAAGACACAATAAACTGGCTTTATCAAAACTGTAAACTTTTGCTCTGTGGAAAAACTTGGTAGGAAGGTATAAATAAAAGCTAAAAATGGTAGAAGGTATTTGCAAATCATGTGTCTGACAAAGAACTCAAGACATATAAAGCACTTTGAAAAATCAGTAGGAAAAGTTCAGTTAGAAAACAGGAAAAGGATATGAACAGATTTTCAGCAAAGAGAATACACAGATGATGAGTAAAAAGATATTCAGCATCATAGTCATTAAGGAAGTGCGTATGTAAACTACAAGGTGTTGCTGTGGCAAGCAGAAACACCAAAATGACCCCCAGGATTTGGAGGCAGTGAACAGCTTTATTTTATACTGGTGGTCCTGGCTGGGATCTCTCCCTCAACAAAGCCCCAGGCAGTGAGTGCTTGTGGCATAGTGCTTTTATATGATGCATAAGCAGGAGGTACAAAGGCAAGATAGGCAGTTCTCTGATTAGCTAGCAGTGTGATATTATCAGTTACAAGGCTAGATTAATGATCATGAAGCTTGTTACAATTAGACATCCTGCATGTTCAGTTATGCTGTCATGGTTACAGGGGTCAAGAAAGTAATTACAAAACCATGAAGCAGTTACAGAGCAAGGTAGTTTCAAAAGGAACAAAGTTTTAAAAAGAATAATTTTTCTTGCACAATTTTTCCCTTTCAGTGTAACTACCCTTTAGAATAGCTGAAAGAAAAAAAGAAAACCATGCTAAATGCTGGTGAGGATAGAGTAACCAAATCATTCATAAATTGTCACCAGGAACATTAAGATAGCACAGGCACTGTGGAAATTTTGATAGTTTCTTTAAAAGCTGAACCTGCATCTACCTATGACCCAGCAATCCTAGCTTTGGGCACTTATCCTTGAGAAATGAAAATATATACACAGAAACCTGTACATGAAGGATCACTGCCGTTTTAGTTTTATAATAGCCAAAAATTGACAACTGCCCAAATTGCAAATGAATGAATTGTTAAACAGTGGTACATTAAAAGAATAGAATATTTAAAAAAAAAAAAAAAGAAAGAATAGGATATTATTCAATGAAAAGAAATGAGCTGATAAATACAACTTGATTGGATCTTAGGGGCATTGTATCTTGAGTGTAAAAAAAAAAAAAAGATCTGCACAGGTTGCATACTACAAAATTACATTTATGAAACATTCTTGAAATGACTAAAGTATGTCCTTAGTAATTACTAATCAGTAATTTCCAGGATTTAGGGAAGAGAATAAGGGGTGCTGTTAGTGTAAATCTGAGTGTGTGTGTGTGTTCATATGTGTGTGTAGAAGTAGCACAAAGGGCATCTTGGTGTTTATCGAATAGTTCTGTATCTTATAGTAGTTTTTGTGTAAGTCTGCACATGTGATAAAACTGCCTAGCAGGGTACACATAAAAATAGGTAGAACTAAGTACAAGGGAAATTGGTAAAAAGGTCAGTAGACTGTAACAACGTCATCTTCTTTATTTCAGTATTGTATTATAGTCACATGAGATGTTTCTACTGAAGGGAAACTGAGTGAGGGGCATAGGACCTCTTAATTGTTTTTGCAGCTTCCTGTAAATCTATTCATTTCAAAATAGAGTACGACACATTCATCCACAAAGCCAAAGGTTATAAAAATTTGTATCACAATTTATAACAGTTAACAAATACTAAAATAAAAATTGTGTTTGAGTCAACAATAGGTATAAAAATGGGAAGATGAGTTATTTTTTAAATTAGCTAGTTGTAATATTTTATATTTGTCATTGTTTTAACATTTTTGGTTAAATTAATAATTAAATCATATACATATTACTAAATTCCATATATGTGGAAATTGCGTTGCACTTTCTGTATAGTCAGTCTTAATTATTTGAGGATTCTCTTGAGTCCTCAAATATTCCCATCTCATGGGAATAGGTCTGCAGAAAAGCCTGCACCCCATCCATACCCACAAAGTGTGAGGCAGGCACACCATCCAACCCAGTAACTGCAGCCTGCAGTAAGTGTGATTTGTACCAGCGCCTCAGTCTGAGTGCTAGCAATACAATGACAAAGACAAGGAAGACACAGGAGACAGTGGCCACTGCTACTACCAGGTAGAGTGTGAGGTCTGAATGCTCAGGATCAGTGGGAATCTTGATGCTTCCCAAGTCAGCCAGGACATCTGGGATGCTATCAGCCACTGCTACAGTAAGTGTGACAGATAAAATTCTCAGTATTCAGCGTGCTTTTTTACATGTAAGCCCAAAATCTATACTCAGCATTGCTTTTATAGGCAGTTGGAAAGCAGCCAAAATTTTTGAGTTTCCCCAGTGCACAAGGTCCCAGCTAAGATCAAATGAGGTGATACTCTGCAGCCTTGTTTCACTTCTTACATTATAACAGATGTCCTTTCTGTAGTCTTAGTGTTTTGTTTTATTTTGTTTTTTGTTTTACATTTTTGTTAGTGGATTCATCACTTAAAATCCCACCCCCAAAGTGTGAAGTGAATCCAGGAACATTGTGACGTGCCTTACATAGAAAGCAGGTATAGTCATGTTTCGGATAAGCTTTGCTCAAACTTGAGTTTAATGCTAGTGAATCAATGGTGTGATAAACCTTGAAGGGAGAAAGAAGTTAGCCGGTCTGTACATCAGGCCTTGCTGAAAAGTTTAAAGTAACATCTCTTGTGCCCGATGAAGATATGGAAAAGAGTTAACATTTGTAGATTCATGGCATGACATCTTATAAAAAGACAAATTGGGAAGCATTCTTGTGAAGATAAAAGCAGGCACAATTTGTCCAGTCATGGTGGCGCACACCTTTAATCCCAGCGCTCAGGAGGCTGAGACAGGAGGATCACTGCAAGTCTGATGCTGGCCTGGGCTGCAAAGTGAGTTCAAGGCCAGTCCTAACTGCATAGTAGAAACCTTGTCTCTAAAAGACAAAAAATAAATAAGTTAAATAAAGCAAGTAGAACTTAAAGTCACATTACCCACTGTTAGGAAAGTGTTTAACCCATTGGGCTATTGCTGACTGATTTATACATTCCAAAAGATGATACAAGAAATGTTAAACTTAGAGGCAAGTAAATTCCTCAGATCAGGAAGCTGAGAAATAATTTTTTAAATGGCTGTTAAATGTTATATAGGAAGAAGGAGTATGTGGAAGAGAAGTTTTCAACAATGATGAGACAGGGATGTTCATAGAGGAGCCTGTGTTACCCTAGTAGCATTTCTGTTGTCAAAAATTGACTTATGCTTGCAGGAACTTTCCTAATCCTTTTCTGTGAGAACAGTAGTTCAACATTACTAATTCAGTGTTTGTGGTTACCTTATGAAATGTAACTATCGCAAATGACAAGAATCAACTGCAGTTTCTCCTTATTTCTTGGGTCCTCTTCCTTAAGGTTGTATTAGCCTTTTTATGTATCTGTTTAATATAGCCACACTTAAAACATAGGTCATTGTCCTGAGAAGGTCTGTTTCTTCTTCCTCATGCCACTGTAGCAGTCCGCAGCTTACAAAGATGTTCTGATATATTTGCAAATCAAAATAAGTAGTTTTCTGGTACAGGTGTTGCCTTGCCTTTACTTGGGAGAGAACAAGAAATACTCATGTGTTAGCCAGTAGTACCAGTTATATAATGGTGTACATTGTACAGTCAGTGTACAATTTAAGTTGAAAATGAGTAACCTAGCTGGGCATGGTGGTGCACGCCTGTAATCCCAGCACTTGGGAGGCTGAGGAAGGAGGATTGCTGCAAATTCAAGGCCAGCCTGAGCTACAAAGTAAGTTCAGGGTAGCCTGAACTGCATAGTAAAAACCTGTGTCAAAGAGACAAAGAGAAAAAAGGAAGAAAGAAAGAAAAGAAAATGAGTGACCTGAATTTTAGGATTATGTTACATCTGTAAATGTCAACTTCAAAGAACTCCAGTAGGTAGATGGAGAAAATAAGGTGTGTCAAGTATCAGAGGTCCGCATTATTGTGGTAGAAATTTAAATGTCAATTGTTAGCTTTATTTGTCTCATATCAGACATATAGTAGTAACATGGACAACAATGACATTTTAAGCACAAATAACTACTCTCATTTCTTTTTTCCTTAGTTTACTTGTCACCTTGCTGCACCAATACTAGAGAGTATAGTTTCATACATGAGACTCTTAAACAGTATAGGCTTGATGTAAGCTGTGATCTCCAGTCATCATGGCAGTTTGGGGATACAAAACTGGTTCGCAATCAGGAGCTAGAAAAAAATTTTACTACTAAGAGGTAAGTTACTATGACTTAAGAAGAGATTTTTTTTTTTTTTATTATGAAATCTTACGCTAATTTATTTCTACCTATGTATTACTAAGAAAATAGAGATTATTTAATAAGCATTATAAGGAAGTAAATTCTTTTGTTAACCTTTTGTAATATTGAAAAGATGGCATTTCATTAGTTTTATGGATTGATGTAATTAGACTTCAGACATCTTCTAATTTTTTTTAATCTTGTTAAGTTTTTCAAAAGCATGTATTAGCACACTTACTAAATACCAATTTTGTAGATCCTGTATCTCTCTTGGATAAGTGTTATGGTTTGCGTCTGGATGTCCCCCTAAAGCCTCATGCAGTCATGAGGTGGGCTTCTAGAGTTTATGATTGATGAGTGGGTGTGAGTGCTGCACCTGCCCTGTGGTGAGTAGTTTGCATACAGTGTAAGGGAGGGAAAGAGGCTGCTTGCCACTGCTCCTCCCCTTGTGCTCTTGTTGCTTTTGCTGTCTTCCCCTGCCATGAACTGTTGCCCTCTGCCATGTGCCACTCTGCCTTGGAGCCAGCCAAGTATGGACTGAAACCTCCACAAACTGTGAGCTAAATAAACCTTTCTTTCCTTCCTTAATTTTGGGCATTGGGTATTTTGTCTCAGCAACAAGAGAACAGTAACCAGGACAATAAGGTAAATCATCAATTAGCATAGTCAGAAAGTAACTTTTTTTCTCTTAACCCAACTCCTAAGAGACTGAGTTAATGTTTTAATTTGTATTGCATACAGCTGTTTGCACTTGTTCCAATGGAACATACTTTCTGGGTTGACACCACTATTCCTGACAACTTTTTAGAAATACACCTTCAGCTTTTTCCAAGTTACATTTCATAATTGTTATTTTGATAAAAAAGAATAAGACCATGCACAAAGTTCTTATTGTAAGCATTTTATATCCATAAGTATACATTTTGTGTGAGGAAAATTTAAATTGTTATTTTCATTTTCTAAACGTACCATATTTACTATTTTGCACTTTCAAATTTAACTTTTAAATTTAAGTATAATTTGAACTTGTTTGGGTTTCTCTTTTGTTTTAGAGTCAGCCCTTCTTGACTCAAATATGCTGCCCCTGTGGAATAAGTTTGGTAATTTGGAATTGGTCAGAATCACAAAATTAGTTGCAGCATATATTCTTTTGTCTAAAAACTACACTTTGCATGTAATATATATCTTGCTATTTCCATACTGAAGGAACAGTTTGATGTAAAATTAATTTTCTGGCACTGTTCTTACCTTTGGTTCTTTTGGCCATTTGAAATTTTGTTCTTTCAGTTAGTTTCACTGGTTAGTGTTGGAAAAGTTAAAACAACTACTCAGTGATACAGAGCATGTTACAATTCTAAGTGACAAATAGTTATTGTTTTTGTTTTTGTCCAAATATACAAAAACTCACTTCCTGCCCATAGTGCTTTATGGGACTTAAAATATATTGGTTTGTGTCTTATAGCCCTACTATGCTGTGAATTTTCTCTTCTTTTTGTGTTGATAGTATAAAACTGAATTTTGCGGTACACTATGTACTTAAATGTCAAATAAGTTACACTTTAACCTCATTTTTTAAATGTTCAAGTGGATTCTTTTTTTTGTACATGCTTGGGATACATGCAGTTTGCAGTCATCTTGGGGAGTGGATATATGTACATACTACAGCTGCTTGGTTTTTTTCATCCCTATTCCCCTTCTCTTCCTCCTCTCCCGTTCTCTGATTCCCCTATTTATTTAATCTCATTTTTTAACAGCGCACCTAGATACCAGACTCATCAGTGATTACCCACTGAGGAGTACTGCACCTTGACATGCAATTACCTTCCACGCACATGAGACCATTGAGCAACATTTAGACATAAACCATAATGGTATCAAATACAATATATGATACAGTAAGCATTCAAATATTTAATGAATGGCTATATACGTAGATGTTTAGATTATTAATGTGCTTTTGCTGATTTCACACTTAAGCAGTAGGTAAAATGCAGATAAGAAGACTGGTATCTTTTTTAACCTACTTCCTCTTCCTGAAATCACAGATTGATAAACTCATTGTTTCCTTATCTAAGGGGAGAGATTAAAAATAAAAGCTAGAGGCAGTGCTGTTAGTGCCTTCTCTTTTCATCTTTGTTCTGTTAATCATTGTTTATTTTTCCTTTTATTTTTTGTTTCCACCTGTGCTTTTAACACTGCTTAAGGGTACTGCCTACCCTCATTGATTGGTTCCAAGAGTAGGCAGGACCAAATCGTTTTGGACCAATGCCACATTGAGAAATGCTTGGTTTGGGATCTCTGGGAAAGAAATACCAATCTTAGATGAACAAGGAAGCAGGTTGTCCCTGTTACTGATAACAGTGTTTTTAGGGTAATGAGACTAGTTTAGGATGAACCTGAGAACAGCAGAGCAAAGAGAGATAGTAAAAGCCCTGTGACCCTGATGGAAGTCTAGAGTCACAGAATCAGTTCATCTTGGTAAAGGCCTGATTTTTGAACCTCTTGTTATGAGAAGTTAGCTTATATTTTAGCCAGTTTGAATGTATTTTTGTATTTGAAGTCATTGATATCCATACCGGAACTGAATTTAGTACTAGGATAGGGGTAGTTGGTAAGAGATTGTAAAATACATATTTAATTCAGGAACAAGGTGAAATACAGCCCCTACTACCCCAAATGTGAGGTTGTCTATCTCAGGGCACAGATCACATGTTTAATGAGGCTGTAAGTTTTTGGAAAATTAAAACTAGGCTACTTAGAATGACTTGACTGTTACTTAGACCTAAGATAATGTGTTAAATTGTAGAAAATTCAAATTTATCAAAAAATATTTCTGATTATGGCCTCCTTTAGTAGTTCAGCTTTACAAGTTTAACTTTGAAATAGAAAGTTCATCTTTTCCAAAGTTAGTGTGGATATGGGTTTAAAAAGAACAAGATTAAGCAAGAGATGAGACAAAACATAACTCTTGTTGTCTTTGATCTTTCCAAAATAGCTCCTTTTGAATTGTTAATGTGTAATTATTTGATCAATCTTGCGTGCCTATATCTGGTTATATATGTACAACCATTTTGAAGATGACATTATGTAATATAACAACTATTGTTAATATTCTGTTACCATGTTTTGAAAATGTGTATCATTTTTATTGCTCTCTGTGTCTTTTGGTTTATGTGTTTGTTTTTGTTATTTTGGTTTTTTTAAATGAAAAACAAAATTTATATGTATATATAAGGATAGCTGGAATAAGTATATTGCTTATGTCTGTGGTTTATTGAAGGGAACAGTCAATGCTTAAAATTTTCTTTTTTCTGTTTGTTTTCATGAGAAACCACTTTGAAGATAGCAATATGTAATACAACAAGCATTGTTAATTTCCTACCACTTTGTTTTTAACTCTGTATTGTCTGTGCTGTTCTTTTTCTATTTTGTAAAAGGTTGTCTGTCTGTTAATGTTTTCCTCCTTTTATTTTTAAAATTAAAAAAAATTTTTTTTTCTTGACCAGTTTTGCATGCTTGAATTTGATAAGCAGAATGACTGATCTGAAAACAATATGCAAGCTGGGCGTGGTGGCACACACCTGTAATCCCAGCACTTGGGAGGCTGAGGCAGGAGGATTGTTGCGAGTTGGAGACCAGCCTGGGCTACAAAGTGAGCTCAAGGCCAGCCTGAACTGCATAGTGAGACCCTGTCTCAAAAAAAAAAAAAAAAAAAAAAAAAAAAAAAGAAAACAATACGCAGTGTAAGAACCATTGTTGAACTCCTACCATCTTTCCAATTTCTTTTTTTTTTTACTTGTTACTGTCTTTGATTGTTTGATCAATCTTACATTCTTATGTCTAGTGGACTGAGCAACTTTGTTGAAGATACAGTATGTAATATAGCAACCATTGTAAATTTCTATCATTTTGTTTTGTGGTCATGTATCATTTTTTGTGTTTTTGTGTTGTTTTGATTTTGTCTTCATTGTTGTTTTGTCAGTTTTTTAATTTTTAAAATTAAAAGCTTTTGTATTTTTTTATTTTAAAGAGAATAAGAAAAGAATAAAAACTGTACAGAATTTCAAAACAAGATAATAGAAAATTAATAATGTTTATTATATTGCATATTGTTACCTTCAAAGTAGTTGCTCAGATTACCAGATATAGGCATGTAAAATTGATCAAACAGTACAAGCACTAACTTCCTTTCAATGAACTAATAGAAATTAGTAGTACAGTTATCTTAACTATCGTGTGTGTGTGTGTGTGTGTGTGTGTGTATTTTTTCTGTCCTTTTCTCCATTCCCCCATCCCAGTTTTCTTTCCTTTTGTATCCAGATCTACTAGAAATGAATGCATATCACACACATAATGGATCTGTAGTTACAGTGATTAGATAAGACTTTGAAGTGGGTCCCTTCTTGCAAGATGAATTGAAGTGCTTTATGGGCATGAGCATTTTTGAAATAAATACATGCATTGGAAAAAGTGTGTATAAAGAATAGCCAAATTAATAGAGTGTAGAAAACCATAGTCTCCTTAACAATTGTTTATAATCTAAACCATTCTTTGTCTCATCCCCTTGCATTATAATTTTACTGGTGTACAAACCTAGTCCACATAGTTCAGTAGTATACGGTGTGAGATTTGCTTGGAAATCCTGCCATAAACTTTTGGATTTGTTAAAAAAAAAAAAAAAAAAAAAAAAAGTGCAGATATGCCTGTCAATTCCAGCCCTGTCAGTTTGCCATTTTGGCAAGTTTTATCTTTTTTGAACTTCATTTTCCTCATTTAAAAATTTGTATAACAACAATAATTACTTCTTGAGAATAAAATGGCAAAAATGCATGTAAAGTTTATGATTTTGTATTGGGTTAGTTCTTACTACTATTACTAGCCTGTGCAGAATGGGTCCATAAATCTTGAACATGTAATCTTGAATTTGCTCTTCAGTGATTTTACAGCCTGACTCATTATCATGGGTAGTGATACCTCTGAATACTATTAATATTTTCCTTTGGTAAAGGTAAGCTTTACCAAAGCTGAATGAGTTCTCTGACTGTGGTAAGCTGAAATACTTACCTTCTTCTTGAAAGCTTTTATCTAACTGTATACATTACTTATCTTGCTTTAGGTCAGAGATGCGTGAGAGTGGAAGACATGGAAGAGAACTTGAAGAACATTTCTGCTTTCTAGCACTTCCTCAAAGAGATGTAGAAGAGATATGCCAGAATGGGTTAAGTACCAAAGCATCTACTTTGAAGATATTAGGAAATCCTCTTCTTGGAATTTACATATTTAGACATGTTGATGTTGCCCTGAATTATGCTCATAGTAGAAGCATTACAATAGAAAATATTATAATTTTTAAGGTAGGTAGCATAAAACAAATATTACGCATGGACAGTTTGATTTAAATTGACCTAAATACATTTTTCCTATACTTAGTATTTTCATTGAATTATTAAATAATATTTATGTTGTCAACATTTGGAATTTTCTTTTTTTTTTTTCTTTTTTGGTATCTGGAACGAATTCAGGGCTTTGCAGTTGCCAGGCAGGCACTGCACTGCTGAGCTACATCCTAGGCCAGAATTTTCTGTTTCTGAGTCTGCTTGACTGTGCACACAAAGCAAAACTCCAAATAAAGCTTTCATCCTGTTTGCCTTTCCAATATATATAAACTCTTAACAGTTCATTCAGTTAATAGTATTATATCAATGTCTATTTCTTAATTTTGATCATTGTTCCAGGGTATACAGGAATTTTGAACTACTTGTATTTTGATGGGGGATGGTGTCAGGCATTGTAATTGTTTATAGTAGGAGAAAATAGGGACCATATAAATGCCTCGCACAGTGCAAGGTGAAGTTATCGTACATCCTTTATCTGGAATATGATGTTAATCCACTTGGTTTACAGATAATTTTTGGACATGTGAAAATGCTTGTGCATTATTATAATTAATTAAGTGTGTTTAGAAGTAGAATGACTGGATCATACGGTAAAATTTTTTTTCTTAGTTTAACCTTTGGTTGGTTAGTTTGGATTTTTTTGTTACTGTTCTTAGTTTTTTGAGATAGAGTCTTGCTATGTAGTTCAGACTGGCCTTGAACTCACCATATAACCCAGACTGGCCTCGAACTTGCTGCACTCCTCGTGCCTTAGCCTCCCGCATGCTGGGATTACAGGTGTGTACCAACGCGTCTAGCTTTTTTCCTTAGTTTTGACAAACCATCATGCTTTTTGCTTTTTTCTAACAATTTCTACCAACAGTACATAAGGGTACCAATTTCTCTGGATCCTTGCCAATACCTGTTAGCTTCCCTTTTCTATTTTTTTTTTTTTTTTATTTTAAAGAGGAAAAAAAATAACAACAAAGATAAAAACAAAACGCAAAAACAATAAAAACAATAAAGAATTTAAAAGCAAAGTGATGAAAAGGTTGTACCAGTTGATATGTACACCCCCACTGAGAACAGCTGTTATCTTACATCCTCACTAAACTTATATATCATACTGCTTATGAACTACTTTATCATTACTTATCTTTTTGTTAAAAATAATACTTTTTATTTTGGAGACTGGCAAATTACAAAGCCAGTGCAGAGTTCCTGCATACCATTCACCTAGCTTCCCCTAACGTTAACATTTTATGTAACTGGCACATTTGTCAGAACTAAGAACTCTCATCAGTACTGTAAATACTTGCTTTTGCTAATTTTTCTGTGCATGGTTGTGTTCCCGAATCCAGTTTAGGATACCACATTACATTTAGGTTTGTTGGTTTTGGGTTTTTTTGAAACACAGTCTTGCTGTATATTCCAGGCTGGCCTTGCACTTGCTTATGTAGCCCAGGCTGGGCTAGAACTCATGGCACTTTTTGCCTCACCCTCCCCAGTACTGGGATTACAGGCATATGCCACCACGTCCATATTGTTTTGTTGTTTTGTTTTGTTGTTTTTGAGATAGAATCATGCTATATTACCTTTCTGGCCTCACATTTGCCATCCTCCTGTCTCAGCCTCCCAAGTACCTGGGATTACAGACATGTTCCACTGTTATCTGCCTTGTTTTGATTTTTAAATAAATGTATTCACCTATTAAAAACAACTAATAGAATTGCTAACTTTCTATAAAGTATGTACAGTTTATGATATTCTCTGCACTTGGGTCCAGCTCATCTTTTGTGAATTATGTCCATGGGCTTTACAAAAATTTTGAGCTTTTTTGTTCTGATGCTCTGAAATTTTAGAGTATTATATAGTGAAGTCTTTGTGTTTTGGCATATGGTTCTTGGCATAGATTCTTTTTTTTTGTGATTCTAGGGTTTGAACAGCCGGACGTATGCTAGGCAAGAGCTTTACTACTGAACCAGTCCAAAATAATGCCAAATAATGCCAGTCCTTGTTGGCATTATTTCTTAGAACAGATTTCACACTTCCATTTAGTTGTTTTGTTTTGTTTTTCTTCCGGTACCAGGAATCGAACTCACAACCTTGTGCTTGCCAGACAGGTGCTTTGCCACTGAGCTAAATCCCCAGCCCCCACACTTCCGTTTTAAATAAATATTTGCTTGTATTTCTTAATACTTAAGTATTTAACTTATTTAATACTTACTTTGCTTTATAGATTAACAGAGAAATTTAATTCTTTCCATTGCTCCCTACCATTTCTTGAATAATGTCTTCTTGCTTCACTTCTTTAAAATGATACTTTTTTTTGTTTTGTTTTGTTTTGTTTTTTCTCCGGTACCGGGAACCGAACTCACGACCTTGCGCTTGCCAGGCAGGCACTTTTGCCGCTGAGCTAAATCCCCAGCCCCTAAAATGATACTTTTAATAGCATGCTATATTTTTAATATCTATGTGCATTTCTGGGGTTTTAATTTTCTAATTTTCATTTTTCCTCTGCCTTTTCTTATATTAAAATGATTTAATACCTGGAAGTGCAGGACACCTTTTGTGTACCATCATTCTGTTTCTGACCCAAACTTTAAAATTTTTTGGATACTCTTCTTTGTATAGTCTTTTACGTTTTTAGACTGAAACTCATTTCTAAAAATAGATTTTCTGAAAATATTATTGGAACTCTTCTAACCTCAGTTTAATTTGGGGGAGAATTGATAAAATTGACATGTTAAATAATCCCATTTATCTAGGACGTAGATAATTTTTCCTATTTGTGGTGGTATCCCATCCAAAAAATGTTAGGTTTACTTTACTAACTGAAGTGATTTTTTTCTTAGGTTCTCTTTGGGAAAGTAAAGAAAATTCAGCCTTCTATGGATGTAAACAAAGTCTCTTTGGATCCTTGTCCTAACTTTGATTGCCACATGTCAAGAAGTGTACCTTCTCTGAAGGATACTGTTGAACTACAAGCCTACAATTCAGTGGTATGTTAATATTATATTTCATTTGACTTGAAATTCACTTAGTATAATGCTTCCTATAGTGGCTACTTTTACTTAGCTGTTCCATAGATTAATTCCTAACTTGGAACCCATACCAAATTTCTCTTTTAAAGTAAGGCTTCATAGCAAGACGACCATAATTAATAGTAATTTGTATTTCAGAATTGCTGACAGTAAATTTCAAATATTTCACCATAAAAAATGGGTATGATGGCTGGGGATTTAGTTCAGCGGCACAGCGCCTGCCTGGCAAGCGCAAGGTCATGAGTTCAATTCCCATACTGGAAAAAAAAAAAATGGGTATGATGACAGATGTTAGTTTCATTTATCATTCTGATATATATGTATTCAAAATTCCATTTGTGTTCCATAATTACATGTTTATGATATATTAAAAATAATGTTAATTTTTAAATGAACAAGGCTATTTTGAAACAATTTTATTGATTCATTGTACTTTGGAAAATAAGAAAAGCTTTATATATTTAGCCATGAGGTGAATCAGTTTTCTATTACATTTTACTTATTTTGTAGGCTTTTAATATTCTATAGAAGGTTAGGTTTTATATATAATTAAATGAAGATAAAGTTTCTATATAGGAGTATATACATATTCCTACATGTAAAAACTATTAAGTTATTTGCCTAATTTTTCTATCAAAGCATAATGCAATGGTTCAGAATGTATGTAAAACATTTAACTCTTAATGGCATGAACTTCCTGTTTAAAAAACATTACATCTGCTTCTGCAAACATTGCAAATACGTGATGGAGGAAAAAAAGGAATTTTTTTTGAAAATTCCTTTGAAAAACTTAGGGTTGAAGCAGACAGGAAGGAATTGGTACATGGAATAGGTACGTTATGTAATATCATGCAGGTGGTATACAGCATTTTTAAAAGTACGAGCTTGAGTTTAACTTCCAAAATTCATCAGCATTAACTTGTTTTTCTTTTTTATCCTTCAGGTATACTTCTATGAATACAACATCTTGTCAAAGCCTGTAGATAAACCTAGGCAGTGTCTTCCATATGCAGTAGTAACAGTAAAATTTATTGGTCAAAAAATAGATATTGGACACCTTACGACACCTTTGAGATTGCTTGCAACAGGATTTCCTAAAAGGCTTGGTAAGATAGATGCGTTATTCTACTTCATTAGCATTATGCTGGTCTTAAAATTGATGAGTATTTTTAATACATTGTGCATCTCTAAACAAAATAGTTTCTTGTAAGTTACTTTATTATTGCAGGTTACTTAGGAAATTTAAGGAATAAATTTCTATAAATTTAGAAAGAAAATTCACCTCCACCTTTCAGATTTTTATGTATATACACATACTGAACATTCCTAATCCAAAATCTGAACTGCTCTAAAATCCAAAACTTCTTGAGCACCACCATGATGCCAATAAAAATTCCACATCATGAAACAATTCTTTTCACAGAATTATTAAGAATATTGTCTGCATTGCCTTCAAAGTATAAAATGCATACAACACTCAGAAAGCTGAGAGAGCAGGATCACTGAGTTCAATGCCGGCATGGGCTACATAAACATAATGAATCCAGGCCAGCCTAAACTACATAGTGAGATCCCTAATTAGATGGGTGGGTAGGTAGGTAGGTATGTAGGTAGGTAGGTAGGTAGGTAGGTAGATAGATAGATAGATAGATAAGATAAGATAAGATAAGATAGAAAAAGAAAGGAAAGGAAGAAAAAGAAAAGAAAGAAAACAAAACATAGTAAATTTCACAAAAATCTGAAATCCAAAACACTTCTGTTTATAGGAATGCTTATTGTGCGGTGGCAAAGGAGTAATAGTTTGCTTTATCTGCTGAAAAATATTTTGTGAGACTGTTGGGAGTTTTCTTCCCCTTACCTCTTCACCTCATTCTCTTTTTTTCTTCCTTTTTTTCTCCTATGATAGAGGGAAAAGAAACAAGATAACAGTAGATGGGAGACAATTTTGCCTACTAATACATAGGTGCTGCTATTAAATATCAGAGTATTGGAAATTAATATAAGGGCTAGCTGAGAGAAGTATTTCCCTATTTAAGTTTCTTATTATTATCGGAATCCATTTTTAATAGCACATAATTTTGTTAGTAGGTTCCTAAACTAAGGTAGAGCTTATGGTGCATCTTTTATACTTTATTAGGTTGGTACTCATTGCCTTATCTGATTTTTCTGCTGAGAAGAAGTTTTAATCATCATTACATTATTAGATGAACTTTTAATTGAAATCACTCACAACTTTTCTTGTATTGATTTGTCTATATTGTTCTTACTTTCTTATTATTTTCACAGAAAGAACATGCTCTCTGAATAACTGTACAGTGGCCAAAAGAATTGGAAAGGGAAAAGATGCTACTGTGATCTTTGAACATTTTGGGAAACCTGTAGATCCATTTGCTCCAGAAAACTGTTCATGCAGTACACAAAATTCAGAGATAAATTCCTTCAATGCAGATATTTCTAATTCTTACGAAAATGTGCAAAGTGGAAATACGTCTATACTTGAAACAAATAGTGGGCAATCAGAAAACAATTTAGCAGAAATTAGAGGCACTTCTCAAGGACAAGTATATGATTCGGGTCCTCCTTTTATGCCCAATGATAACAAAGAAAGTGGTAATAGTGATCATGTGTTTTTGACGTATCTTAAAGATATTTTAAATGTTATGTCTGCTCCTTTTCCTCCTCACAATAATACTGGCTCAAGTACAGTTACTACTTCAAAATTCATCAAAGACCCAAGACTGATGAAAAAAGAAGAAAGTATGGGGAAACAGAATCATGCTACAGGCTTAAGTGAGATTTTGCCATTTGAGAAAAATTTAGTTGATAACGCAGAAATAAACCCTTCATATGTGCTGACTAATTCTTCCTACTCATCTGAAGTTATCCCTCATGATTGTGCTGCTCCTTCTAATTGTTTGGATACCACTAGCTCCAAATTTTCTTTTGATGACTCACCATCTCAGACTCACAACTTGGGTCCAAAGGACTATAATTGTATAGCACCCAGGATCAGACAATATAAGGACCAGGGAAATTTTTCCTTCCCAGTTTCTTTGTTAAATGTTTCAGAGCTTGAGAACCAAAAACACAGTGAGGACAAAGCCCAGACAGCCCAAGAGAGAAACGGTATTCCACTTTTAATTAAACAAAGCAGCAGGCCACATAACTCTTATGAATCAGTGAATACTTACACAAAAGACTCCGGTGGTCATATCTCAGAGGAATTACATTCTTCTAATTTTAACACTGTATATCAGACTGGTCACCAAATGTCTATAGTTTTCCCACCGCAGAGGAAAGGAAGCATAGATGAGTGCATTCAAAATACTGGCAAGATGAGAAACTTCACTGACCCAGAAGACAGTTACGGATATGATGGAAAGCGAAGTTTGCAAAAAGAAACTGATAATAATTTCACTAATGAAACAAAAATCACTCCAATCAGTAATTATATTTCTTCATGCCAAGAATACAAAAATGACAAGACCTTTGATTCTTTGGGAGGAAATACTGATGAAATGTTAATTACTCAAGAGTTAGAAATGCCAGAACCTCCCAACTTTACCACAAAGGATGATGAACAGGATCACCTAGCTTTGGAATTAGAAAGTAATCTTACTCTAGAGTGCCTTTCACAGAAGCATCCTCAGCATTCTATAGACTGTGAAGTCAGCATGCATACAAGTTTTGTATCCACTCAGAAGCTAAGAGAAATGAATTTGGAAAAAACAAATCAAAATTGTGTTAGCATTAGAACTGATGCTTTCCAGGAAGCAAAAGACATTCTTCAGACCAGAGAACTGCTTGGTAACTCCGTAACTAAGTGTCATGGTGTTGAAATAGCCCTTGACAATTCAAATTGCAGCAAAACTAGAGAATATGTATGTGTCCAGAGGAAAAATGAAAATAAGTCAGTGTCATTAGAGGACATTCAGAGAGACTGCACAGAAACTCCTTACACTGAAGATGAAGGTCAGGCTCACATTCTTTCTGGTACTGCACAGTTGAATGATGATAAATTTCTAAGTATTCATTTCAAAGGACCAAGAGATGATGATAAAGAAAACAAAAATAAAGCTAAAGAGGCTAGTAGAGCTTCATCTCCAGCAAACAACATAGAAACTGTATGTGGAAATCAGAAGCAAGAATACCATACAAACAATACTTTAACCAATACAGAAGACAGGAAGAAGAATAAAAATGACAACAGAGAAGATATTTCCAATTCTGAAGACGTTTCTACTACATTCAACTTCATTTGGAGAGAAAAAGATAGGTCACCAGAAACTACATTACACAGTGCAGATACTCTTGCTGCCATGAAACAGAGAGATGTACAAAACACTGGAAGAAATGTGGCGCATTTGGCTTTGACACCATTTCCTGAAAGTGCAGGTTCTTCAGTAGCTGTAGCCTCAGATCCTGCAATAGAGTTAGCCAACACTACTTTGCCTACTGAAGCTCACCCAAGATACCAGCTTAAAGAAACTCATTCTTCTAAGAGTCCAGATTTTGGGTTGTTAGTAAAACAAAGCATTGCTGATTGTGAAATTGGTATGGATAAAAATAAATTACAAGATTCATGTCATCAGCCAGTGAATGAGAACTCAGTTCTTCAAAGTTTTGATGTGGCAAGTGAAACTGAAGTAGAATTAGAAGAGTATGATGATGCTTTCCTACTTCAACAAAAGAGACATAGCCATGAAGATATACTTCATGAAGAACATGAGGCTTTGAAGTCACGTATCAATTGGGAAGGTCTGTTCGGAAGCAATAATGGAAAGATGGACAATTTGGGAAGCACCACAACAGAGGATATAGCTGAACATCACTCTAAGAACACTGTTACTTTTTGTTCTTCTTACCAAAAACTCTACCCGGTTTTACTTCCAGATCTACAGGTTAGAATTACTAATACATTTAGAACAACATTCAGTCCCCCTGATGACACCCTTTCAGTGAAAAATAATTTTTACAGATGCTTAACAGAAGCCACAAAACCAGGAAGAAATAAAGAGGGGAAAGCTCCAGGATTTGAAATTTATTCCAAGTCATCTTGTGGAAATTCAGGCTATCCATGTGACAGTCAAGCTGGTAATTCCATGCAAGATTCAAGACTTGTGAGTAAGTCTGAAATTTCCCATTTTTCTAACTTGAATCACAATACTGATAAGAATGATATGTCTGGAAAAAAAAGCAATGAATCTTTTTCTACTGAACCTTTTAATGTCACAACGATAAATGGTGACCACCAGTGTTTCTTTACAAAATCAAAAATGGACTTTAATGATACTAGAAATAAAAAGGACATGGAATCAAGAATTAGCCAAAGAAACATACGTACATCTTTTAAGGATCATAATATATCACATAAAGATACGAGACAGCATGAAATTTGTGAGAAGAAAAGGAGATTATCCAGTCATGACTCATCTGAGTGTTTTTCTTCATTGTCCCAAGGACGAATGAAAATATTTTCACAGTCAGAAAGACACATAAAGGATGTCCTAGATATTCTAAATAGTGAAACATCTTTATGTAAAAGCAGATGTCTTTCCAGAAAACTAAACAGAGCTGTTCTTCACTTAAAGAAAGCTCATAGAAGAGTACAGACATCTTTGCAGCTTATAGCCAAAGTGGGAGAAAAAAGAAAAGGCCCATTACCCAAAGCATATGAAATAACATGCAATAATTTCTGGGAGAGCTGTGACCTTCAGGGTTGTAGTTCTGTGTCTGAAAGAAGATACTCCAAGCATTTTTTATCAAAAAGGAAATATGACAGACTGGGGAAAAGAGCTTCTGGATCAGTCGGCATGTCAAAGCACAAGTCGTACAAAAGAAATAGAGAGAAGATTGCAGTGTGCCATTCCAAGAAAAGTGTGACCAGCAATGTCTCCAGAAGTCACACCACTGTTCACGTTAGAGAATTTTGTGATGAACACCACCACCCTCAATCACAGTTGTCACTGTTTTCTGTATCCCAAAGTACAAGTGAACCAGAATATGGTAAAAGCAGTATGAAAGATTCAAGATCATCAGAGTGTGAGCCTTTTTCTGAAAATACTAAATATTTGCTTTATTCAAATGAGAAACAATCTGAAAAAGAAAATCAAGTTAATACAAAGTTATCAAACATTAGTAAATGTGAAAAGCTTAGGAACCAGTCAGCACATAATAAGTATATGGGGAAAAAAAATAATTCTGAAGTTAATAAAGTAATAAGCAAAAGTAGTTCAGTATCTTTAAGCAAAACAAAAGAAAACAATGTAAGTTACAGCACAGAGAAAAACTATGATGCAATTTGTTTAGCCCACACAAAAGTGAAAACTGACATATTTATTTCAACCTTAGGTTCCAACGTGAAGCTTTTTTTAAATGTTGATACCTACAAAGGAGATAACTCTATTATATCTGACTGTCAAAGTAATCTGAAAGAAAATTTTCCTATAGAAAGGTGGATAGCTCCAACTGAGAGCTACAAACCAAGCATTATTACAGGAAATGTCCTTATGGGTCCATTCAACATAACTTTGACATCAAACAAAAAGTACAATATCCTTCAGTTATCAGCCACTCCAGTGACAGATAGTGAGAGAGAATCTTTAAAATCTTGTTTGGGTAAACAGAGGGTTCTTGCTATAGATTATCCTGCAACACCCACTACTGTGTCACACCGTCAGCAGATACATGGTAGGAAGGTGCTTCTGAAGACACAACAATCCTTAAGTAGTAGTTCCTTTATGGAAGGGAATAAAACAAATGTTACTGAGCATTCAGAATTGGATCTAACATCAGTAACTGAAGAGATGAAAAGTTATGGGGAAAATACATTGAAAAAACTATCTTTTAATGATAATTCTCTACACATAAAAGATAATATAAAGGATCTTTCAGAAATATATATTGAAAAACAAGATATTCAGAACAGAAAAATTAGGAAAAATGAACAAGCAGAAAAAGCAAAAGGTTCACTTCACAAAAAAAGCATGTCTGAGGGATCAGTTGTTGAGACTGAATACAAAAACCAAAAGAATAAGATCCTAAAAGAAAAATCCCCTCACCTAAATACAAAAACAGTTAAAAGTAATTTGATTGATTCTCACCTAAGCATTAAAACAACTCCAGAGGCAGTCTCTCTAAGTAACACTGTTTCTAGTCAGCTTAACAAAAGTAAAAAAGAGGAGAAGACAAAAATTAGTAGTGACTGTCAGTCTGGCTGTATTTCCAAGCCAGGCATTGTGGAAATTGATCATATGCCTATTCTCCATGCCCACTCTGAAACTTCTAAAATTACTGGTATTCAGAGACCTACATCATATGTGAATGAGTTAAAAGAAAAATATTGCCCAGTTACTCATAGAGCTCTTATAACAGAGCTATCCCAGATTTTGCAGAGGGCAGATGAAGCATCATCTTTGGAGATTCTAAAGGAAGAAACTAAGGTTTGTCAAAATATCCTTCCTTTATTCGTTGAAGCTTTTGAAAGAAAGCAGGAATGTTCACTTGAACAAATTCTGATTTCAAGAGAGCTATTGGTAGAACAAAATCTGTGGAATAATTGCAAATACAAATTAAAGCCATGTGCTATTGAGACTTTAGTGGAACTTCAAATGGTAATGGAAACCATTCAATTCATTGAAAATAAAAAAAGGCTCTTAGAAGGTGAACCAACATTCCGAAGCTTGCTTTGGTATGATGAGACGTTGTACAGTGAGCTGCTTGGCAGGCCACATGGATATCAACTGCAGTCTAGTTTCTACCCTGCTTTTCAAGGAAGGTTAAAATATAACGCATTCTGTGAATTGCAGAATTATCATAATCAGTTAATTGAATTGTTTGCTGAAACAAAAAGGGAAAGTAATTCATACTATGCATTGTTAAAATACAGGCGACAGATTAACGAATGTGAAGCCGTAATGAAGCAACGTTCTGATTGTTTTGACTTTTCTCTTTCTGTTCCGTTTACCTGTGGAGTTAACTTCGGAGATAGCTTAGCAGACCTAGAAATCTTAAGAAAAAGTACTTTAAAGCTGATCAGTATATATGGAGACTCTCCTACAGTTCATTCATATCCAGGAAAACAAGACCATCTGTGGATTATTATAGAAATGATTTCCTCAAAAGTTAATTTTATCAAGAGCAATGAGGCAGTAAATATTAAAGTCTCTCTTTATGGTCTAGAGCATATATGTTTTGATGCTGCAAAAAATCTTGTTTGGAAAAAGAAGAGACAGTCTTTCAGCAAAAAATACTCACCAAAAAACCAGGAAGTGATTCATAAAATGAATGAAAGGGCTTTATCTAAATTGCAAAAGATATATGACAGCTTGTCTGAAAAGTCAAACAATATACCAACTTCCAATATTGAGCTTAAGGGAGATACTGCAATTACTTCCAGAAAGTCAGATAATCTAATTACAATAGAAAAAAGTACTTTGGTTTCACGCCCAGGTATTAGTATTAGTGAAATACTGGATCAGGTTGAATTTGCAGACTTAAAAAAATTACAAGATCTTACTTTGATATGTACAGATCATTTAGAAATTTTAAAAAAATATTTTCAAATGCTACAAGAAAATAATGTAGATGATATTTTCATCACAGAAGAAAATGTTTTGGACGTGCTGAAAAATCACAAACATGAGGCTGTAATTTTAAAACCTGAAGCAACTGAAACATATATTGAAATTGCCATGCTCTCAGAAACAGTTCACTTTCTTAAAAATTCAATGGCAAAGAAAGTAGACAACCAGAGATTTCGAGGTATGCTTTGGTTTGATTTGTCGCTTCTTCCTCAACTGGTGCACTGCCAAGAAAAAATGGTTTGTTTCTCATTTCTTGAAGATAACCCCAGAGATTGCCTCAGGAAAGCAATAGAAACTGGTATTTCTGAATGTAAGAAAGATCTGGATATCATTTACAAGAACAAAGAAGCTGTTAATTGCTTATATGCTCTTCATTTATTCTCAAGGGAACTTAAAGAACTTTCAGAAATAAAAAAGCTCCTAAAGAAATCTGAGTATCCTTTTCCCACGTACATTGATTTTGTCCCATGTATAATATCCATAAATTATGGAAACACTGTGACAGAGTTAGATCACAACTACAGTCAGTTTTCTACACTACTCAAAAATACAGTGGCTGTCCCTCAGAAAGATTTAGGAAAAATTGCCCATATTATGAAAGTTATGAAAACGATTGAACATATGAAGATGATATGTGCTAAAAATGCTAAATTAACAACAACTTTTATCCTATGCCAAATGCTACATAACAAGAGGAGTAATTTCCAATTCAAGAGAAAAGAAAAGGTGAATACTCTTTCTACCATACCTGAGGAAAATACCAGACCCAGTACTTCTGCAAAGGTACCCTCAACTTCAGTGCATATAATCAGAGACATTTCAAATTCATCTAAAAGGCGACCTAGTGCTCTGGACAAGTATGAAGACTCTATTTGTAAAAAGAGAAAGGTACGAATGTTTTAAAATGAAGCCACTATATTTTTTTGAGAATATATCTACTCTTGAAGCAGACAGTTTGCAGAGTTGTAAAGGTTGAGTATGGTTTAAATACTGCCTTGAAAAACAAACTTATTTTGGTAACTAACGTATTAGATTAAACAACTCATCTGTGAAATGTTATAAATTATTGTACATAATATGGGAGATACCTTGCAAATGTCTACTTTATTTAGAAAACAGTTTTTGGAAGAATGAACTTTAATGAGCTTTTTGTTTTTCTTTCTTTCCATAACTGGGGATTGAACCCATGGCTTTACACTGAGCTACATCCCCACCCTATTTTTTATTTTGAGATAGCATCTCACAAAGTTGCACAGGCTGGGCTCAAACTTACAATTCTCCTGCCTATGCCTTTCAGAGTGCTGAGATTACAGGTGTATGTTAGCACACCAGGCTTTAATAGCTTTGTAAGGGAAACTTCACTATGAATGTCAGTTAACTGAATAACCAGTGTTTGTTAAGTAGCATCTCTGTAACAAGCCTGTGCCCAATGTGCAATGAATATTAACAACCAGCTAATGAAGCCTGCTCCACTATTATCATCTAGATCAGTGATGCCAAGCCTTGTGGAGCTTTTATTGATAACAAACAGCTTGCAGTGTGGCACACATCATAGGTTCACATCACTGATCTAGGTGGAGAAATTGAGCAAATGGTTTTAAATATAATCATCAATTTAGAAAAACTACTATATGAAAACATTTTAATTATTTTGTGTACCAGTTACAAACAGTCATTCTTAATGAAAACCTTAGGACACATGCATTATTATTCTCTCATGTAAAGGTAAGAAAACTGAGGCATAGGAAAATTTAGTAACTTCCCAAGTCACATAGTAAATGGGAGAACCTGTATCTAAAACCAGATGTTCTAGCCCCAGAGCCCATACTAACAGTTGTCCCTGCTCTGTTCTATTCTCTATTTTATATTCTTTTACTTTGGAGGAGTATAATTTTTTTTACTTCTTTATATATTCTAGATATTAGTCCTCTGTCCAAGGTATAAATGGCAAATTTTTTCACATTTTGTAGATTGTTTGTTCACTCTGTGGGTTGTTTCCTTTGCTGTTAGTTATGGTTTATGTCTGGATATCCCCACAAAGCCTCATGAAGTCATGGGGCGGGCTTCTAGCATTTATGATTGATTCATGGCCCAATGTTGGGATTATGGGTGTGAGTGCCACACCCGCCCTGGAGTGGGTAGTTTGCATACAGTATAAGGGAGGAAAAGAGGCTTACTTGCCACTCCTTCCTTTTTGTTCTTGCTGCTTTTGCTGTTTTCTGCCGCCATGAACGATTGCCCTCTGCCATGTGCCGCTCTGCTTTGGAACCAGCCAAGAATGGACTGCAACCTCCACAAACTGAGCTAAATAAACTTTTCCTTCCTTAATTCTGGGCATCAGGTATTTTGTTTCAGCAATGAGAGAAAAGTAACCAAGACACTGTTCATAGTTTTTTTTTTTTTTTATTTTGATATAACCCAATTTGTTGATTCTTGGTGTTATTTGTTGTGCAGTTTGGATTCTGTTCTGAAAGTCCTTGCCTACACCTGTCACTACCTGTTTTATCTTCCACCAGGCTGTGTTTCTGTTTTAATATTTAGATTTTTGATCATTTTTTATTTTAGGGAAGTACACAGTAAGATATATGGGTCTAGGTTCTACGGTCTTCGGCACATACGTAGGCAGTTTTCCTAACACCATTTACTAAAGAGAATGCCTTTCGAACTCCAGCATATATTTTTGGCCCCTTTTTCAAAGATCAGATGGCTGAATATGCCCAGGGTTTTTTCTGCATCCTCTATTCTGTTCTGTTGATGTTCATGTCTGTTTTTGTGTCAGTACCATGCTGTTTTTATTGCTGTAGCTTTGTAATATAACTTGAAATCCAGGATTGTGCTACTTCTTGCTTTCCTCTTGTTGCCCAGGATTGCTTTTGCTATTCTAGATCTCTTCTAGTTCCATTGTGAATTTTAGGGTTGTTTTCTCTAGTTCTGTGATAAATATTGTTGGGATTTTGATTGGGATTGCATTAAATGTATGAGTTTTGGAAGGAGGGCGATCTTTACTATATTGGTTCTGTCTGTCTAGGAACGGGGTATTTTTCATTTTCTGATATCCTCTTTGATCACCTTTTTCAGACTACTATAGTTTTCAATTGTAGAGGTCTTGTACTTCCTTTATTAGGTTAATTCTAAATGTTTAATTTTTCTTGGTGCTATTGTGAATAGCATTGTTTTCCTCCTTTTTTTCCCTGTGGGTTAATTATTGAAGTACAAGAACACTACTGATTTTTGTGAATCATCACCTGTTGTAACATGTTCATAGCAGAATGGTTAATAAATAACCAGGACATAACAAGAGCAGAAGTTGTGTACTCCACATTAAGAATAAAGTGAGGATGAAACTAGAAAAGTAGTGTAGGGGCTGAACACGGTGTCACATGCTTGCAATCCCAGCTGTCTGAGGACTGAGACAGGTGGGTCACAAATTTGAAGCCAGCCTGGGCAACATATCAAAAATTTGTTTTGAGATTTAAAGGGTTGGGTATATAGTTTAGTAGCAGAACACTTGCCTAGCATGCCAGAGTACTGCAAAACAAGGCTCTGATTGTTAGATTTATCTTCGGCACAACACAGACCAAACCTGTGTGTGACAGGAAAATATGTTACCACCTAAAAATAAAAATGAAGAAGGGTAAGACACACCCCATACTACTATTAAGGTAGGAGTTTAAAGTTTAACTTACTTGGCAGAAGCTAGCTAGGATGAAATAGGTTGTTTCGTGGACTGGGGTTGTAGCTTAGTGCTTACTATATGCAAGGTCCTGTATTTAATCTCTCACACACAAAAAAGAGGAGGTGGTGGTGATTTCAGATTATATATAGTAGTGTTTTTGGGTTTTTTTTTTTTTGTACGGAGAATCAAACTCATGGCTTCATGCTTGCCAGGCATCTGCTATGCCACTGAGCTATATCTCCAGCATATAGTGTGTCTTAAATATAGGCCTAAGGAGTTTGAATTTCACTCTGTACATATTGAAATGCAATGTCATGTGAAATGTGCTGCTTTAGTGGTTTAAAAGGTTAGAAAATCCTGAATATAGTTAGAAATATTAAACAGCAGCACTTCACAAGAGTACTGATTATAGAATAAGTAAAAACTCATACAGGTTCAGTATCCTTTATCTAAAATGCTTTGGACTGAGGTGTTTTAGATTTTGTATTTTTTTTTCCGATTTTTGAATATTTGCATAGTGAGATATCTTGGTGATGGGACCAAGTCTAAGCAAAAATTTGTTTCATGTACACATACACATAGCTTGATGGTAGGTTTGTGGGGGTTTTTTTACAGTATTTTAAATAATCTGCATAGAACAAAGTTTCCTGGTATGGAATTTTCCACTTTGATGTAATGTTGGCACTCAAAAAGTTTTATATGTGAGATCATTTTGAATTAGGGACGTTTAACCTGTATTTAGTAGTTATTACTGAAAAGAACTGATAGGCCTTCTTGCGTACCTCTGTCTTCCTGAGAAACCACTTTGAAGATACCACCATGTATTACAGCAGCCATTGATATTTTCCTACTAATCTATCCATAACTCTGTAATGTTTGTATTGTTCCTATCCTATTTCATAAATGGATGTATGTTTATTATTATGTGTTTCTTACAACAACCATTGAGAATAGTTAATGATTATTCAGTAGGTCACTCATGTATAGCTCTATTTATTTTGTTTAGAAGCCACTTTGAAGATACCAAAGTATAGTACAACAACTATTGATAATCTCCTACCTCTTTTGTCTGTAACTATTATTTGTCTGTTTGTTTTCCTGAGAAACTATCTTGTAGATAACAATATATAAAACAATAACCATTGATAATTTCCTGCCACTTTATCTGTAATTTGGTAAGCCCCCCCATTATTATGTTATCCTTCTTTTACTCTTTAAAATAAAAAAAAATTAAAAAAAAAAAAGAACTGATGGGGCTCAGTGACTGAATGCTAAAGATGAAATAGTCATTAATGGACTCCCAAGATTAGTTTTTATTTTTTATTTTTTTCTGTTTTTTTCCGGTACAAGGAAATCAAACTCATGACCTTGCGCTTGCCAGGCAGGCGCTGTGCCACTGAGCTAAATCCCCAGCCCCAAAGATTAGATTTAAAATAAAAACAACATAGCAATTTTTAAAAAATATCTTCAAGTATATGAAATATGGAAAGTCCAACAGAGTTAATTTTGGGGGATGGGATTAATATTTATATTTTATTTTGTCATCACCAACGGAAGTTTTTTTTATCTTTTTAACATAGGTTGACATCAGCCATACCGCTGAAATCAACAAAGAGAAGGCAGTGTTCAGGTGTCTAAGGTAAGAGCTGCAGTTAGCCCTGTCTAAAGTAAAACTATAAACAAAATTAGGTAAATAGGAAGAAGAAAAAAGCAATTATTTATATTGCTCTGCCGTATCAGGTGTTTCTTTTATACAGTGTTTTGAGTGAGACTAAGAACAAAATCAGGCTTTATTCTGTAAATCAGTGGTTTCCAATCTTTTTGGCACCACAGTCTGGTTTTGTAGAAGACAATTTTTCAGCAGACGGAGGGAGTAGGGTGGTTTCAGGAGGATTCAAGCACATTACATTTATTGTGCACTTTTGTTGTTACATTGTAACATAAAATAAAATAATTATACAATTCAGCACAGAATGAGTAGGATCTCCAACCTTGTTTTCCGGCCACCAGATGCAGCTGTACAATTTAAGTACATCAACTCACTTGCCACTATAAAGCCTGCCACCAGATGCAGCTTGTCACTTGTCACTCACTGATAAGGATTTAATAAGAGTCTACAGTGGCTGATTTATTATTGTCTCTCTTCACTTAAACTTGTACTAATGTTAAATGTTAACCTGTTTTTGCAGTGATGCTCTCCAACACTAGCGTCAGTGCCTCAGCTCTATCTGAGATCATCAGGCTTTAAATTCTTACAAGGAGCGTGCCACTTTGCATGTGTAGTTCACAGTAGGCTTCGTGCTCCTATGAGAATCTGATGCTACTACTGATACGACAGGAGGCTGGCTCTGTCAACCTGCTTTAATATTGCCTTAGGCAAAAATGTGAAGGATACATAATGGGCAAGAAATTTTTGAGATGTTTTATTGTAGTAAGAGGTCTTTAGTAGGGAGTTGGAAATCCAGAGCTGATAATTACAATCTGTGTGTGTCTGTATTTGTGGTTATTTACAAGTAATAAAAATTACAAATGTGTTGGAAGTATATGAATTAGAAGCTACACCAACTAATAATAACAGTGTCTTTCTTTTTACTGTGTGTTGGGGGTGGGGATGCTAGGGATTAAACTGAAGGCCTCACAAATGGTAGGCAAGTTCTCTACCACTGAACTACATCACCACCCCAGTTTTCTGCTTTTAAAAGTATGAGGAAATATTCAGAGCACAAAACTGTTAATTTTACAATATTGGGAATACATTTAAAATGCAGAGTATATCATCTTCAGAAAAAGTATCTAAATTTCAAGCAAGGAAACAGTTTCTTGTATACTCTTAATAATGAGCAGATGTTAATCTTAAGAATTCTTCTTTTAAAAAACCGTGAACAATTTAGCCTGGAGTGGTAGCACACACCTGTAATCCTAGTACTCAGGAGGCTGAGGCAGGAGAATCACTGTGAGTTCGAGGCCAGCCTGGGCTACAAAGTGAGTTCAAGGCCAGCCTGATCTGCATAGCAGGATCCTGTCTCAAAAACACAAAAAATAAAAATAAAAAACCCTGAATAAAAATTTGAAATACAAATTTCTGTTAAAACTTCGATTGATTGCAGATGTAGTCAGTGGTAAGAGTGCTTGCATAACATGCATGAGGCCTTGAGTTCAATCTCCATCACCAAAAAAAGTTATGACTGTATATTTAAAGTTGTTTATATGTTGTTCATAGGACTACAGGATTTCATCCCCAGGGTGAGAACAAAATAGGATGGCGTTCATCTGACAATCTGAAAAGAAACTGTGTGTCTTCAGAAAGGGATGAAATGCAGGGATCATTGTGTGACTCACTTTCACCTTTAAAGAATTCACAAGCCACTTACACATCAGAGTCAGAAAGCAAAATAGATTTAACTAATATTTCACCCGATGCCTCAAAGCACCTCAGTGAACAACAGGAAAACTTAAATAGCATAAAGAAAAGAAATGCGAATTTTGGTGCTCCTGAAACAAAAAGTTATAAAAATGATTATGCTACTTTTGCAACTTGTGACCAGAGAAGTATAAATGGTACTTTGTCAAAAGACCAAGATACGCCTTCACAGAAACTTCTTAAGAATCTCCCAGATCCTGCACAGAAAACTTTTCTTTCAAACATAAAACCAGCAACTGATGACTCTCTTGTGCCTAATTTATCAGTGCTCTCAGAGCCTATTTCCCATTCTCTGAGGGATATCCACACCAACCTAGGAATAAATGGCATAGTCTTAGACCATCAAGATAATGAACTGTTAGAGTCATCTATTAATAAGTCCACATGTGCCAGTTTTCCAGAACCCATATATATCCAGAGCAGAATTCCTGATACATTGAGTCCCAGTCCTATACCTTTTGGAGCATCTGGAAGCTTACCCTGTGATGTGAATCAAACAGCAGAGTATTCCTTTTCTGAATGGGATGAAGAGAATCCAAAAGTCCTAACTCAGAAAGCTGCCACATACTGGAATGAACTTCCACAGTCAACCTACACCCCAGTATATAATTCTTCTGACCATTCATTGGGAACTCCATACTATGCTTGGTGCATTTATCATTACAGCAGCAGCAGCGGCAATGCCACTGCCCATACATACCAAGGAATAACATCATATGAAGTACAGTCACCTCCTTCTGGAATATTGACTACACTTACAAGTACTGTCCAGACCACACCTTCTAATCTTGTATACTCTCAATATTTTAGTTACTTTGCTGATCAGCCACAAGCAAACACTTTTGTGCCAGTGAATGGGTATTTTCAATCTCAGATGCCTATTTCTTATTTTCAGCAACCAATTGTTTCACAGCATGCTTCTCATCAGCCATTATCACAAGCTGTTTACCATTATTATCCTGCTCCAGCTGTGCTTCCAGAAGCTTCTTGGATTTATGGTGAGTTGTATAAGTGTTACCATTTGAATCTTTTAATTTTGTACATTTATGTAATGGAATTCACAGTTGATTATATATATCAGCCATTTTCCGTGCACATTTATAGAATTGTTCATATATCATACAGTTGAATTGCATTATTTGTTGCACATCTGGTTGTCAAAGATTACAGAAAAAGAAGTGGTCATGTCAAAAACACATGCTTAAAGAAAATCTCAGAGAATAGTTAAGTAAATTATAGTTAGATCTATACAATGATACAGTCATTAAAGGATTTATAAAAAAATTTTAATGACATGACATTTTTTAAAACTATATCACATAAACTTACTTAAATGCCAGCATTTTAAATTGACCAGCCTCAGATGATAAAATCAGGGGTGTGGGGCCGGGGATATAGCTCAGTGGCACAGTGCCTGACTGACAAGGGAAAGGTCCTGAGTTCAATTCCCAGTATCAAAAAAAGTTAATTAATTAAAATAAAATCAGGGATATGTGTTGTTCCGCATTTTCAAAATTTCATACTGTGAGACAAATTATCTTGATTTTTATTTTATTTTATTTTATTTTTTTGTCTTTTTGAGATAGGGTCTCACTATGCAGTTCAGGCTGACCTTGAGCTCACTTTGTAGCCCAGGCTGGCCTTGAATTCATAACGATCCTCCTGCCTCAGCCTCCCGAGTGCTGAAATTACAGGTGTGCACCACCGTGCCCGGCTAACAAATTATCTTGATAATTGGAGAGAAAATTTGATGAAAAATCAAGGTGCAAAAGGAAACTTCATATAAAACTGTCTTTTTCTTCTTTCAGTGTATTAACATAATATAGTACCCTGATGTGAATGATGTGTATTTATTAAATACAATTAGAATGTTTTTAATTAAGTTGAAATTTGCATTTATTAGACTTAAAGTAGAATTCTAAAATTATCCTACAGAAACAATAATTACACCCAAATATTCTCCCATCAGAAAATATGTACTTTAAATAAAAGTAACATCTGTTAATACCTTAGAGAAGTGCAAGAAAATTCCTTTTAAACAGTTGTCTCAAATCCTGTCAAAAGTTACAAGTAAGTACAGTACAAAAAATTATGTAGGCACCATCTGTCTGAATTCAAATAGAAGCAAACTTTTCCGGGATGGGGGTGATAGAGATAGAACCCAGAGCTTCATATGTGCTAGGCAAGTCCTAAAACACTGAACTGTATTCTCAACCTGACGTACTTGTATTTCTGATTAAGAAATTTTATCATCGAGCTAAAATTCAGATGCTTTAGCTTAAAAAGCAGAGCTCTTCACATCCTGCATATGCAGCCTCATTTCCCACTGCTTCTACTTCCATATTCAAGCATCATTGACCTTCTTACTATTCTCCCACTTGACAATCCCTGGGATACTTTGGTATTTCTTGCATGTTTCTCTTACTCACATAATAAAATTGGGTGATGCTGTCACAATCTATTTATTTTTTCCTTCCCTCCCTGTCTCACGAAATGAGTTTAAGCAGGACAGAAATTTTTCAACTGAGGAAAAGTATAGTGCACCTTAATTTCTCAAATAGGAAATCTTGATTCTAATTCTTTCATAAAGGCTTTCATTATTTGAGCTTTCTTGTATTTTAAGTAGTTAAGCTGTTTGTAATATTTTAAAAATCATTCTGGAATCAAATCTAGCTGTGACTTTCAATCTTATTACCTCTTTGGTTATACTGATCCAGTGAAAATGAAAGAAAAAGGTTATTTAAGGGACTAGGAAGACAGCTCAGCAGCATAGCACTTGCCTGGCAAGGGCAAGGTCCTGAGTTCAATTCCTGGTACCAAAAAAAGAAAAGAAAAGAAAACAGTTATTTAAAGTATCCAAAAGTCCATCTCAAAAATTTGGAGGCATTACAATATTTTAAACACACATCTTCTAGTTTTCAGAAGTGCAAATGATCCATAGAGATCACCTCTCACACTTACATTAACTACATTCTTAAAAAGATGTGAACATACTGAGCCGTGTATCACTGGTTTGTTGAACATACTTGTATTCAACACTAGAAAATGGAACTAAAGAAACGTGCTTAAATTAAGCCCTGTGTGCCAAGCACATTATGTTCTTGATTAGCATTTAATTATCACAGAATACCTAAGGGAGATGTAGGGATATTGCTTTTTTACCAGTTGGGAAACTACTCTTCAGAGAGTCTTAAATAAATTTCCCAGGATCCTATGACTAGCAAAGGGAAGGTGTGTAATTTCAACTCGGATCTCTTTGGTGCTAATGTAAACCTAGATTCTTTCTACTTTACTATTATATATCATTAGTCTACATCATTTAACTTGTCTAAAATCTCTATGGGTTTTCCTTTCAGCTCCATGGCAACAGCAACCTTTTCAGCCAAGACATTGAAAGAAAGAAGATTTAACAAATTTTTTCCAAGTATTTTTATCTATATATTACTTTAATTTTAATGTTTATCATTTATATGTATAGACTGTTTAGAATGTACAGAGTGTATGTATAGAATGTTTATCATTTATATGTACAGAAATTTGGTTTATAAATCATAAAGCCATATAACACTTGTAAGTGCAATAATGCATAGCTTACGGTAATAGGAAATTAATTTCTAACATCTGAAATACCAAAATCGTTTTTCCAGGTAATTCCAAAAGGAGTTAATTGAGCATGAGCATTAAGCAGTAGTAGTAAAATATTTCAAACTAGGTTGTTGTGGGTTTTTTTTTTTAAGTACATGGTTTATGATGCCATTTTATTGAGCTGCAAAAGAATCTTCTTTCTTGAACTGGTCACCAGACCAATAATTTCATAAATCTCTACAGTTTACTGATAATATTTTACAATTCTATTTCATAGTGAACTTTAATTTTTGATTTTTGTTCATAAAATATTTTTAAATAGAAAAGATTGGTTCACATATTCTCAGTTTTCTTAAAGAGAGAGCTTTAAATTTTTTATTTGGAAACAGTTTTAATTATATAGGAATTAAAGCATTTTCAGTGACCTTTTCTACAAGCTTTCTTCCCACAATGTTTGTTTTATAGGTATATTTCATAATTTAAATTGTTCTTTTAATAATTTTTATGAATAAATGTTTATATTTATGCAGTTAGTTTAGCTGTACTACAGCTAAACTAGTAATTTAAATAATGCTGTGGTATTCTGGTTATAGTAGGATTTTTTTCAACATTTTGCAAAAGTAAAAAATTTCTTACTAGTAATCATTATAGGCTAACAGAATGTATTGTGTAATTATGGCCTTGAGCAACATCTCTAGATACTAGATACTGCCTTTCTTATTCAACCTTCCTTATTTTAAGATACCAGTCCAGAAAAATCCCTCAGAACTGAATGAATCTTTCTCAGCTGCTAGTCAGCCTTAAATGTGACAAGAGATTTGCTGTGGTTAAATTTAAAGAAATAGTTTGAGCATTTCCTCAAGTTTTATTAGGAAACTTTATTATCTGGCAGAGGCCTCCAGAGTATGATTTTGCTACGTTTAATGTCCAGTAATTTCTTTTTCAATTCAGAAGGACTGAGAACCCCAGGATAAGCATAAGCCTCTTTAATCAGAATAACCAAATAGGATGAAAGTTGGGATTCATTAACAGTACAGTTTTTTTAAAAGGGGAGATTCAAGCACAGAACTGTAACTGAAACATAAAGAATTGGAAAGATAATAGAATTAAAGCAGTAGTAAAATAACATTTTTTCAAAGTTGTTTTAAGTTATAACTCATCAACCAAGTATGAAAGCAGTTAACATTAACTGTTATTCAAGAAATTACTTTGTCTCAGCTATTTCACTTGTTTGATTATGGAATGATATCACAAAGTTTATTAACAATCATTCCAAGACTGAGGATATAGCTCAGTGATAAAGCCCTTGGCCTCGCATGCATAAGCCCAATCCTCAGTACTACAAAGGAAATAATACTTTGTTAAATGAAAAGTTGAATATTCTAATTAAGTAGTCTTCAACAACTTTCAGATTCTGTTGATAATGTCTCTGTATGTCATTTAATTTTAAAAAAAAAACTTAACTAAATATTCAGTTATTTAAAAATCTGCACTTTGACAGAGTTCAAAAACCTGGAGTATTTTCCTTTTTCATCCTCAGTATGTGCTTTGATTTTAACATTAAGTAAAAAATAAAACTGAATAAACATTATGAGAGGAAAAAAGTCTGCTTGTTTAGAAGTGTTTTGGAACTTGAATTATCTGAATAAATTGCATTTCTTCTAATTTCAGAGGTACTTTCCTTTTTTTCTTTCCTGTGTTTCTTGAAAAATGAAAAAAAGTCTACCTACAGTGGTATACATCTGTAGAATCCCAGCTGCTCTGGAGACTGAGGCAGGAGGACTGCAAGTTCAAGACCAGCCTAGGCAATTAGTGAGACCCTTGTCTCAAAAAGTAAAAAGCGCTGGAGATGTACATAGGTCAGTAGGAGAGTGCTCCTTTGTTTAATCTCTAGGACCAAAGGAAGGAAAAAGAAAAATGAGAAAAATATGAATGACCTTTGGTTTACACAATCATTAACAAAGTACAAATTGTCTCATTTAACAACCTACTTTTTAAAGACTGTTCAGATTTATGACCCGCCACTTGGACCTAACCAAACCTTTTTTTTTCAGTACACTTGTACTGTACATTTTGTTTTCAGAGACTCAATGTCTTTTTTTTGTATATTTTGTTTATGCAGTAATTTTTGCTGGTAAACTATACAATATTGTAGTTGTATGTTATATGTTACTGTACCACATGTAAGAGTTTAGCAAATAAAAGCAAAGGTATCAAAGTTGGAATTTTTTTTGGTCTTTTTGAGACAGGGTCTCGATGTACAGTTCAGGCTGGCCTTGAGCTTAGTTTGTAGCCCAGGCTGGCCTCAAACTCCCAACAGTCCTCCTGCCTCAGCCTCCCAAGTGGTGGTATTACAGGCATGCACCACCACGCCTGGCTTTCAAGTTGGAATTTTGTTTGAGCGTATTTCTGAATATTGTATACACTATATACAATTCCTCATTTAGCGATCAATTCATTTAATAACCTAGTCATGTGACCATAGCTCAGTCATTAAACTGTGAGTGTCTGTAATGGAGTAGAGAATGAGTAGATGAGACCTAAACTGAGATTTTCAGGAGAAGCCTCTTACTAAATGGAAGGCTTTGCCTCAGTTTCCTAATGAGAAAATTTCTCTCTAAAATAGCATTTTTGTAAATTGATAAACTTCTAGGGATATAGATGACATATTTAAATGTCAATCATATAATATGAGAACATTTTAAATCACTTTTAACCATATTTTTCATGACAGTTTCACTTAGTATTCTCTGATGTATCTTTAACATAGTTGTCAAAATCATTAGATCCTTTTTGAGCTCTGTTTTCCAAAGCATATTATCCTCACTTCTAAATTACCTGAGAAAATGTGCTTTTTAAATCTGTGTACATATCCCAAATTATTGGTTGAGGTCATTTCAAATTAGTGTCTTCTCCAGAGACATTACAGTGATAATTTAGGGCTTCAAAATAAGAGTAAAGCCAATGGGATAGTTCTGGAGGAACAAAATAATTTATATTCAGACATATAAGGTAGTTTAAAACCATTAAATATTTTTTTACAGGCACAGTTTAAGTTCATATAATACAACATGATAAATGCAATTATCTATGCAGTTTTTAAAATAAAATTTTAAAATTAAGTTACTGCTGAGTGTGGTGGTACAAGCCTATAATCCCAGCACTCGGGAGGCTGAGGCAGGAGGATTGTTGCAAGTTGGAGACCAGCCTGGGCTACAAAGTGAACTCAAGGCCAGCCTGAACTGCACAGTGAGGCCCTGTTTAAAAAAAAAAAAAAAAAAAAAAAAAACGATAATTAAGTTATTGATTCCTGCAAGCTCGGCATTTTAAAATTAGTTCCAATTAACACAATTCTAAGAGCAGTGACTCCAGATTCCTAGTTGGCAATTGTTAATTAAAAAAAAAAATCTAACCAGGTATGGTGCATCCGTGTAATCTCAGCATTTGTGGAGGCTGAGGTAGGAAGACTGAACTCAAGCCCAGCCTTGGCAATTTAGTGACTTTACAAGATACTGTCTCAAAAACTTTTATTGTTATTTTTTATGTTTTAGAAGGTTCAAGGAACCAGGCATGGTAGTGCATGCCTGTAATCCTAGCACTGGAGAGGTTGAGGCAGGATTGTTGTGAGTTTAAGGCCAGCCTGGCATTAATAGTTCAATACCAGCCTAAACTAGTTAATGAAACCCTGTCTAAAAAAGGTGGGGGTCGGGGAGGGGCAGGGGTTGAGGATATACTTAAAAGATTCTGGTTTCAATTCCCAGTACCACAAAAAAGAGAGGGGCTCTACAGTGTTCATGATTACTAATACAATGTGGAGAGGAAATTTTTTCTAAGCATATAAAAATACTGTTCATTTCTAGATCTGTAAGCTTTGCTGCCTGCTTTATTACTATCTTGTTTTTTAATCTTCCACCCATAAAAAATCTGTTACTGTGTGAGAAGTCTCTATTGGAAACATCCTGTGGACTCACCAGTGCCGAAATACTGCATTCTAGCTTGTTGGCATCAATATTCAGACTTGAAACTCGTTTTTTAAAGTCTGTTTTTTATTAGTAAGAATAACAGATATAATTCATTTTTTTAATGTGAGTAAGTCTGTACTTTGGAAAGGTGGTCTAGTCAGTTTAGCTTGTTTGATTGGTTAAAAATCGCATTTATATTCAGTGGATAATTATTAAACATGACTTAGCTAAAAGTAAAGTAATTCTATTTATATGTACTGTACATGTGTCAGCTAATCTTTTTGGTTATTTCGTGTTGTGGGGGGTGCTAGGAATTAAACCCAGGGCCTCATGCATCCTAGGCAAGTACTCTGCCACTGATCTATACCCCCAGCCTCTCAACTTACTCATATCAACCCTATAAAAGGAAATAGAAATTCATTTAGAAGGACTCTCAAAATATTTTTATTTCTCTCAAGTTATCTCTGTGAACATCAGATGATAATTTCTAGTGTCATTGGTTTGAAACAACTATAAGACCAGATTTCAATCTGTCTCCCTGGACATACAACTTTCCTTTTTTAGCTGTGCTGGAGATCAAACCCAGGGCCTTACACATGGGGCATCACAAGTAGTTTGGTAGCTGTCCTGTCTATAAAAATGTAGGGCTGAAATGGGGACTCTTCAGGAGAGGTAGCTCTGTTCATTACAGCTTACCTGGGCTTTGGGACGTTGGGAATGTTATAGCAGGCCATTTCTCCTTCCCTGGTCTTAGCCATGTTAAGGTGGACAAGAATGGTAGAAGAGCCAGGCATGGTGGCGCACGCCTGTAATCCCACAGCACTTGGGAGGCTGAGGGAGGAGGATTGTCACAAGTTTGAGACCAGCCTCGGCTACAAAGTGAGCTCAAGACCAACCTGAACTGCAGAGTAAGACCCTGTCTCAAAAAGTCCAAGAAAAAAAAAAAAGAGGGAGGGGCGACAGCTGAGCTGCACCTCCTCTTGGAATGGCTTGGAATGGCTTGGAGAGCAGCTGGGAAGCAAACTTACGGGTGGCAGGAGGACACTGAGGCAAAAGGCAAGGTGTGTCAGTTGAGGAGGGTGGGGAGACTGGCCAAGCCACTACCCCTTCTGGCCACCTACAGAAAACAGAAAGTCAGGGGTTTCTTACCTGTTTCAGTACTACCAAAAAAATAAAAAAGCCTACATTCTGTGAAATGAGAGAAGCATGTAAAAACCCACCACCACGGTGAAACAGATTTTTATGCATGGTATTGCAGGTCTTAGGAGGAAGACCATAGAACTCAGTCTGTGGATTTAGGAATACTTGTAAAGTAAGACAAACTTAAGCTAAGTCCTAATATGTTTGAGTTCTACATGCTGAGAAGGGAAGAGGATTTTAGGGGAGACACACAGGAATATAATTAAAAGCATTCCAAGGGAGGAAGGCTGGGAAGGCAGAGGGGAGTAACACTTGAGCTGTGCTATGTACATGTACCAACTCTCTACAATGAATGTAATCATTATGTACTACATACATGTAATAATAAAACTTTTGAAGCACAATGTCAAGAAATGTAAAAATAATTTCATGCATTCCACTGATATTTTGTGTCTAGGTATATGTAGTACAGAGAAGTGAAAGGGACATAAAACTCCCTATCTCATGAAATGATTTAATTTGGTAATTAAAAACCACACTTGATAAGTTAGCAGTCTACCAGAGTGTCGGCATTGTAGTTTGGCCCAATCACAACTTTACCACAAAAATATAAAGGAGGTCCAGGCATATGCCACAGAGTATGTCCCTTGTTGAAGCTTCATGGTACAATTTCTCTTTTTTTTTTCTTCCTTCCAGGGCCTCACATATGATAAACACATGCCAAACAGGAGCTCCACCCTAGCTTTTGATGGATGTTTGTTTAAATGTGGTCAAATAAACAAAACTTGACATCATATCCAGTTTAAGTGTATAGTGCAGTAGTACAATAAATATATTCACATTGTGTACCAATCTCCAGAATTTTTTCATCTTGCAAAACCAAAAGTCTATCCCACCAAACAATTTTCCATTTCCTCATGTGTTTATCACCTGTAACTACTGTATTCTTTTTTATCTAGTAATTTGAGTTAATGGGAGTTAGTGGGATCCTGAAGTATTTGTCTTTATGTAAATATATTGTTTCATTGAGCATAATGTTCTCAGGGATCATCCATGCTTGATTGTGGCAGAATTATCTTTTTAAGGCTGAATGCATTTTTACTGTATGTACCTCGTTTTCTTTATCCATTCATCCCTTGATGAACATTTGGGTTCCTTCCACCTTTTAAGTACTGTGAATAATTATGTTATGAACATGAGTGTGCAACTATCTCATTAGGACTCTGCTTTCAAATCCTTAGGATTTATATCCAGAAGTAATTTAATGATATGGCAATTACATTTTTAATGTCAAAACCCCGTACCATTTTCCAAAGGGGCTGTATCATTTACATTCTTATCAGTGCACGTTACAATTTCTGTATTCCTTGCCAACATTCATTTTCTGTTTTCTTGATAACAGCTATCATAATGCATATGAGTGGTAACTCATTCTGGTTTTGATTTGCATTTATTATTATTATTATTATTATTATTAGGTACCAGAAATTGAACTCAGGACCTTGTGTTCGCCAGGCAGACACTGTGCCACTGAGCTTTTATCCCTAACCCTGATTTGCATTT